GAACACATCAACCAAGGAGGGAAGAGTTTGCGGGGGAGGGTGGAACCGCGGGGCTAATTTCCATAACACCGCCCATACACAAGCCAAAAGGTAAAGAGGACCGCAGCAAGTTTTTGAACGAACAGATTAGCGTTAGCTTGAGTGTACAAAGTGTAGCGCATGAAGTGTCGCCTCCACGAGTGAAAACGCTTTTCGTGTCTTGACGATCGCTCGATTGTCTTTTTCACATTGACTCATTTTAATGGCAATCCCGAAAGACAATATTGCTATCTTAGTTGTGGTGTTTATTTGCACGTACTGCTCGTGTCCTTCTTTTGGCTGGTCGGCGTGGTGGCCCAGTTGACCTTGACTTCCTGCAAAGAGACACAACATGGCAAGGGGAAGCGTATGAGACGTGATCAAGGAGGCGGAGAGCGCTTATGTTCTGATTAGGCCACTTGTCACAAACCACTTTTACTTCAATTTGCTGATTTTGAGGTTGTTGTTTTTAATGTGGTGGCTTCTGTTCTGCATCATTACACACCACTGCAGATTGTTTTTTTTTTTTTCATAAATTGTACGTACCTTTTCATAAACTAAGCACACAGTAAGAATTTAAGAATGGGCTATCAAGATGTCACACCCTCATAAATCAGGAAAAATGGCAGTCAAAAAATTTGGGAGCAAAAAACTGAAGGAAGTAAGGTCCAAATAACAAGGGACTTACAAACAAGTGAATTTTACGAACTTGTTCTACTCCTCAAACGCTCCTTCAATACCTGTTGAGGAATAGAATATTTTCAACTGAATGTTTGTCTTACTACAAGTGTGCCGGCTAATGGAAAGAAGGTGGTACAGCAAATAAATAAAAGACAACACACAGACCAGTCAAAGAGGCAGGAGAGGATCATCATCCTTTCGCCTTCACCCAATACAATAAAACAATTGGGGCTTTTAAGGTTGAAAATATTTTCTCATTTTTTGGGGTGGGGTCGGGGGGGTTACTCGTCAAGAATGGCACACCCAGCCCGGTCCGAGAGGCTCACGCCAAAGGGGATAAGATCGCTTACCTTACCCAGAATTTTCCGACCGTTCATGGCCGCAATGGTGGCCATGGCGTGTCTATGCTCATAGAATTCCACAAAGCAGTAGGGATCGTGACCCGCCGTCTGGAATGGACGAGAGAGACAAAAAAAATACAAATACACATTCAGAATCGATTACCGCAATGAATAATCGGGGAAAAATTTGTTTTCCATTCTTAAACACAATAACATGCATGCGAGTTGCAGGTGTTATTTTTGTCCACATGAGGGCGCCTCCGTGATTGCGTGTGGAAGGCTTTAAAAGGTGGGGCCTGGCCTGGTGAGTGATGTAGACATCAACGAATGAGAGTGAGTGTTGGCCGGCTCGTACCTGGCGAACGCGTCGGCCAGTCTGCTTGTTCAGTGACGCAACTCGGCCCTTGTTTGGGCTGCAGTGGCTAGATACACTGGGTAATTGTACCACCTGGCATCTAGCAGAACTGCAGGGAATTTCTCTGCCTGTCACTTTAAGTCACCGGCATAAATTAATGAACAAAGAAACATTACTTTGAGTAAATAATCTTCTGGGCCTGTATTTACTCAATTGCAAAAGGTGCTAACATTTATTAGCAGCTAATCCGTACATAAGCTATTTGTACAGAAGAGAGTCAATCAGAAAAGTTAACATGATATTTTTTCCTGAGAGGGAAAAAGAGAGTGTATTCGAAGTGGACTGTTTATTCAAGAGGGCAACGTACCCTTGCGATATGTTGGAGTACGGTGTCAGCTAGAGTCACTTTTTGAGGAAATACGGACTATCACCACGCTAAAGCTAGTCCACATTTGATCTCCTGGACTGGATTTGACAAACAGAATAAGCTACATGAAACGAGAGAGGGGGGGAAAAACAAAACAAAAAAAACAAGGGACTCACATCTACGATCATTTTACAACTCTTGCAGGGTCCGATCTGGCCAAATAACTCCAGGATAAGGGCTTCCGTCACATCTCGCGACAGGTTTCCCACGTACCTGTACACAAGCAAACAAGAGGGGGAAATGTCAGATGGAAACATAGCCTTTTTTTTTTAATGGATTATGATGATGATAGAGGTGTAGCGTAGACAAGTGGTACCCAACAAGTGGGGCACGTTGAAAGACTGAACAAGAAATATTTTCGAGACCCCGGGTGTTGTATAGAGTCCTTTCACGCTCCAACTGTGTGCGAGGCGGTGAAGGTTTCTAAATGGGATAGTATGAACAAGTGTCAGAGGATTTGGGGCAAATAGGAGCCAGGAAGGTTTTGGTTTGTTTTGATGGTTGTGAAGCAGTGACAAAATGATCTGTAACCCATTTATGTTAAAGGGTGATGTTATAGGAAGAGTTTTCGATTGTCAATGGATTGGTGATACTTAAGTATGTACACATGAATACAGACAACATTTTTAAGGGTGGCGCCTATTTTTTTGAGAAACTTTGCCATTCGCGGCGGCTCTTGGTCCCTATCCCTCCGCGAATAACGAGCCGATATGTACTCTATGCTTCTAATTTGACCTGAACTTACCTCGAGCTGCTAGCTTTTAAAATAGCACCGAGCTAATCTTAAACCAGGAAATACAGTCCAGACAAACGGTTTTCATCGTGAATATCACTTGGCCCCGGTTAAGTAAATGAATCAAAATGCGAATACATGAAGGAGCAAACAATAAAGAGATGTGGACACAAAAAAATGAATATCAAGGCCCAAAATGCTCGATTTTTAATTGGTCGCTTATTGAAATTAGCTTGTCAGCGCATTACATTGTCCATGCTGCTGTAGTAAAAGCGTGCCCTTTCTCTACATTAATCCAGAAAATACTTTAAAAGAACCAACGTTATTTATGCCTATTGTGTCATTTTAATCAGGGTCAGTATGGGTTTGGAGTCCGCCGGCTGATTGGTTACGTTAGCACGTTAGCTCCATGTTACGTGAGCAACACAAGTGAGCTAAGCTAACAAGACAACCGAAGCACACTCACAGGGTTTTGGGCTGCTCATCGTCCATCCTGTTTCAAACTTGTTGGCCAAGACCGAGTTGCAAACGCCGGGCGGAGGACAAGTCCACGACCGTCGCGAGCAGCTGCCAGTGACACCGTGTCCGCTAGTGTTTTTGTGGCGCAGTACGAAGACGATAATACCGCCGAGACTGGGGGCGGGGGAGAATACAAGCCACGGAGCGAACAATGGGGCAGCCGACAAAAATGGCGGAACGCGGAGCCCTCTGCTGACGAGCAAGGCGCACGCGCGGCACTCTTAAAAGGAAAAATATCACTAACTGCACGTCAAGTCGTCGATATAAAATCCATATACACAGAAATTCACAGGATCATTTTCTTATCAGATTTATCCAGGCATTAAAATGTAAACGTATCAATACGTTTATTTATGTGGTTCCAGCCCACACATTAAGTGCTTCGTAGCAGACCGACGTGACCCGTGTGCCTACGTGGCGGTCATGTTGGCAGGGGCGACGTTCCCATCAACGGAAACGCATGGACATTTTTAGCCGATGTTCATAAAGTTTACTTTTTCTGTGTCAAAACGTGTGCTGTCAATGCATAATGTTTGAAATCAAAGATAAACATTAAACATGTTAACATATGGACGGTTATTCCCATTTTCCTTGTCGGTTGTCCGCAAAGGTATGCAGCACACTGTGACGGCATCCTCGGTCTTTTGGTTTTCTTAACGTCCACACGAGGGATGTGCTGACGACTTTGACCCTCCTAGCTTAGCTTGGCTGTAGGCACGCCCCTCAAAGGAGCGAGTTGAATATCCTTGCCACCCGTGACTGAGACGAACATTGAGCATGCGTACTACCTCGGCAATATTTTTTCCCCTCATAATTCTCGTTCCAACTTGATCTCTGTTGATTTTGGAGTCACTCATCTACTTTGCATGCGTGCCAGTTGGAGCACGGCTCCTCAAGCCCTCCCTCCATCGCCAAACTACAACTTCCGGCTCTGAGCGTCTCGCCCAGGGTGTCTCTAAGAGGGAAAGGATAATGACTGCCGACCTGTAAGAGCAGCCATCGTTCAACAGATATAAAGTAGTGCATTGATTTGAGTTTAATTCGTGACTACTATCGTAACCCAAAACACTCGTATCTCAAGCCATCTTTTACATTGAAGTGAATGAAAATCCCCGTTGTGTAATATTATTTTGTTATTTTATGTCAACTGTTTATGTTATGTTTATATTAAGAAACCTGCCTTGGGACTAGGCTGAAAACTAGCATTTATTCTAAGTCCAGCAAATTTGCACTGTTTATTCTTGTTTTGATTAATGTGCACTGTCCCAAAGAAAGAAAGAAATCAATCAATCCCACCGGTCCATTCCCTCCCCAATTATCCTCCTTCTGTTGAGTGCGCCTTGGCCACCAGGGGGCGTTAAAATATAGACAGAGAAAAGTGTCACAAATGACCCAAAATTGACTGGATATTTTTTTTGCAATGGAAAAAGAATATAAATACCTGTGAGTATTGTTAAGTTATCGCTCTACATCTATTGCTCGACCATTTATGTTCCAATACCCACTGCTTCAAGAATATACACACAACACCACAGCTATCAATGCTTCACCTTAGCCCAGCCATGGCGTTTTCGATTATGCATTATCATTAAGTTAGCGTGAAAGTTCTTCAGCCAAAGTTGTTTGGTTTCTTTGAATAAACAATATGTTAAATTAGAAATAGGTCAACAACACAGCCATGTCAAATGTTCATTTTAGTCGATGCTGCGGCTCGCGAAAAAAAAAAAAAAGTATGGCCAAGGCGTGATTTTAACCATGAAAACTGTTTTAATCCTGCTTCCTGAAAGAATTGGAATCAAGAATCATTTTGGAACAAGAATTGTTCAAATTCAAGCGATGACCAACCCTTATTAACAGCCTTTCGTTCCTTTTTTTTCCCCAAACCACATGGAGACACCCTGTAAGGTGTTACAAAATACAAGCAAGAATGTTTGGAAGTGCGATTAAAACACAAATTTATTCGCATTAAATAAAGCAACACCAATTAAAAGAAAAATCTCAGGAACGAAAGTGTCCCTGTAAAAGTGAGCCAAAAAAAGATTCTTGTTATAGCCTGTCAACGCTGGTTCGCACGTGGTCATCTCAGCAAGCAGTTGCGGTCGGTCACTAGCTTCTCCAGCCTCTTGATCTTGCGCTTGTTCTTGGGCATGGTTTTGTCGTACATGCCGTTCTTCAGCAGGTGTTCCTTGCTGTGGTGCACCTGGGCGCCGTGCTCCAGCTGGAAGGTGCACAGGGCCTTCAGTGGCCTCAGCAGTACCTGTGGTACAACACGGGAAGAACACAGGCTCCTTAGAATCCAAACTGTATCATTTGCCATTTGGTTTTGAGTGTTTGTAACTTGCAATTTTTTTTTGTTTTTATTTTTTTTTTAGACCTTTTTGCAATGTCAATGTGTGGATGAAGGGTCTTCAATAAGCCAAGGTAGATTTTTTGATTCGAGCGGATTGTCAGCTGAGAAAAGCTTTTGTTGCAGCCGCACATCCCGCCCCCAATCACATTGTTGCTTTATAATTGGTCGCGTGGCTCGGTGCAAATCAGCGGGCTCACGACAAGATGGAGTCACAGGGTTTTGTCAACTCACAAATACAGCGAGAATTCAGCTTGCAGGCAAGGTTAGCTTCTCCCCTCATTTCAACAATGTTCCTTCAACCCAAAATGTCACCAAAGCTTGTCCCTGTGCAATAATAATAATCTACTAAGACATATCTACTCGAACTTATGGTCCATCCCTATTTGTGTTGTACCGTACCTCTTGGAAAATATCATTGCACTCCAGTATGGACAGAGCGACGGCAGCGCACTCCAGCGTGGACAGGCAGATGTTGGTGGGCTGCGTGCGGATCACATACTGGCTTGAAAGACTTCGGTTGAGCTGCACCTGGTGGACACAAACGTGCATTGACCATAAGGACGGCAAACAACGACTGCCTTTGGAATCATTCACTCATCCCTTCTCCCTGATCAATTTACATTGTCGGGTCATCGTCTGCGGATTTTGAAGCTGTTTTGGGAATTACTACCGCTTGTGTGCTCAACTCGCTACTGGAACCCAAAGGGTGGAGCAACACACATAGACAGACAGCATAAAAATACTCAGACATATGTTGTTTATCCAATGCAATGCACAACTCCATTTTGCTGCGGCTTGGAAAGCTGATCTGAGACCGTCTCCGTATACCGTTTGTCCTTATCATACGACCCCCAGGGAAAAGTTAACTCTTTACATTCGATGTGTGTTAGTGGTGTATGTTTTTATAAATTGGGATGCACTAAGGGCACGAAATAAGGGTTAAAACCTATATCCACTCAGCATTTGAACAACACTCTACAAGGGCAAACTTAACATTTAGGGCACAATGTGGTGGAGTGATTCCAAAGGCAGCCTAATTGTTATCGCATTGACTCCACCCACCTGCTTGGGAAGTTGCAGCATGCTGTTTTTGAGAAAAATGTTCTTGGCCTGGCTCCAGGTGCCATCGATAAGGATAATGTTATGCGTCTTGGCGCCCTCTTCTGGCAACTGTACCAACTCCTCCAGGTTCTGGGAGTTGGGGCCGGGGTAGAGGATCAGAGTCCGGCTGTCCCGGCACACTTTGGCCAGCTCCGGGTTCCTGAGAGCGAGAAAGAAGAAAAACAGAAGCTATGGTATGGGCCCAAGGAAAAATAAAATCTCAAAATATATTTTTTCTTGGCGACACGGTGGACAACTGCTCAGCACGTCCGCCTCACAGTACAGAGGGTCAGATCAGGGTGTACCCCGCCCTCTATCTGAGGTCAGCTGTGATAAGCTCCAGCACATCAGGGGTTCAAGTGGGTGCTGCTTACTTTGCCTCGTTAAAGCGCCTCCCGATAATGACGTTGCACTTTCCTAGCGGTAAACATGCGGCAAGAAGAGGTACTGTGCGAAGAACTCGGCTCTCCTGAAAGCAAGGCACACATGTAACAAGATCTATACAATAACACATCATTTTAAACAAATTTCATGCCAAGCATCATTGGGTGTTGCTCACCAAAACAGCAACACCTACTGGCGCACAGAAACAATCTCTGAGAGTCCAATAATGGCATGAAAATAGAGTATCAAAAAAACGACATGTACATCATACTCACCAGGCATTAGAATTCAGGGTGTAAATGCACCGAAACACTGCGGTAAAGGGCTCACCTCTGCAGGGTGTTGAACGATGTAGAGACATGTGGACACGTCCAGAGGTTGCGCGGGTAGGAAGGGACACAGACACACCTTCTCAGGGCGACTACATGATGAGAGGAGGAAAAATCATTCAACCAGCCGCCATTTCTTCTCGTAAGTTTCACGACTAGAGCAAACACACGGTCTGATGGCTTTCTGTTTGGAGCAAGCATTTCACCCCCTCCCCTTAAAAAACAAAAAAAACAAAACAAAAACAAAAAAACTGGCCAATGGCGTCTTTGCACTGCTGGGCTGGGGGCCTGGGGTCCATTCGCTTAGCATTAGCTTAGCTTCAGTCAGTGTGATAATTTTGCTCACCGGCACCGTAAACACGTCGGTCTTCGCTCGCTAACCTCTACCGGCAGCGCCGCCAGGTCGCCGAACACGTCGTCCAAGCAGTCGTCGTCACTCGAAGTTTCCGGGGGCTCGTCGTCGTCGTCGTCGTCCTCCTCCTCCTCGTCGTCTTTGGCGCAGCAACGTGGCGGGCTGGGGGAGGCATGCTCCATCGCGAGTAGCTAACTTTTAGCGCGAGCTCGGTGGTGGTGAACGCTACAGCCCAGCTAGCCGCCTCCTCTCCCAGGGGTTGTTTACACGAAGCGAAGGCAGGAGAGGGTTAGGGTTACTGTATTTCGTCGCTTTGTCAACTCTTGACTTGTAAATCCTTTTGGCACAGTTTTTTGCGATATCAGATAAAATAGATTTGATATGATTTCATTCATGCACACGTATTTTTACAGCATAATATTATGACATGTTACACTATTCCCAGGTGGGCTCCATGTGTTTGTCTGCATGAGGTCTGAAGTCATTCGCGGGGTCAAGTCATGGGACCCTCTCCACCCTTGTACTGCAAAGATTTTGAATGGTTATGTTTATCAATAACTAAAAAGTGTAAATTTGAAAAAAATCGATTTCCTGAGCTAGATAAAGACCTTTCACAGTGAATTCATGTACAGGAATTTGTGTTTAAATCCATTGGAGATGCAGGCATGGGTCAAGGCGGGGTTGAGAAAACGAACTATCTGTCAGAGGGCAAACAATAAAGGCTTTGTCGATATTTGAAACTCGTCCATTTTTGGAACATGAAACAAAGCACACTAAGTAGCAAACGTAGAAGTGGTCGATAATGATATACGCTGCTTTGTACTTAATTTTAATGTAGCTTTTATATGAGTGGCAACATTTATACGCGCATCGATATATTAAAATGTGTTACAAAAAACACTGGTAGAGTGAATAAATGAAACCCTGGATACATGTCTGTCAAATTCCCCCTCCCCCTCGTAACATTCAGCCAATCGCGTGAAATGTAAAGTTTTACGTGATGACGCCACTGTCGTACGTCTCCCCACTTTATGGAACCCACTAGCCATAAAGCTAGTAACGAATGATGTACAATAGTGAGTTTACACGGGGATTTTACAATAACAAAACATAAAAACCCAATACTAATAATAACCTCGCTTGAGTGCATTTCGCAGCAACTCGTAACAAACGTGAGTTTTAATTGCTTCGAGCCGACTGGAGCTTTCATGAGTCGAGCCGAGTGATGCTAGCAGGTGTTAGCAGGTGCTAGCCGGGCGGCGGAGGCAGAGCGTTCGCGGTAATCATCATCATGCCACTTCGGGCACTTGTGCACCGACGGCCGCCAACGCGTCAAGCCATGTCGGAGTGAATCGTGAGAGCGCGGACAGGAGCGAGAGGACCAGCGGGGGCGGGCGGCGGCTGGAGGGGAGCATCTTGGGGAACGATCGGACGACACCAGCAACCATGGGGTACGTATTCTGCGCTTGTTATTTGCCGTGCGGTGCTAAAGCCAAATCGCCAGCGGGGTTTGTTTTCGCGCTCCGCGGCACAGTCCTGCGCGTCACTTGTCAGCTCGTCAACGCTCGCCTACCAGCGGCAGCACTGATAGCCGTTACTAGCCTAGCCTAGCTGGGTAGCCACCGCTGGCTCGCTTAATAAACACTCACAGGAGATTAAAGCCGCTCGCGAGGACAGCAGCTGTCAATAAATCCACTCACACAGACTGACTGACGCATCATGTCGCGTGTCAATTCGGCAACACGCCGTCGCCATTCGGGGTGTGGATGAAAACGCACTGGCACGACTGTTTTTTGAGTTTTTTCCAAAAGTCAGCAGTTTGGTTCTTTTTCTGACCAATTCAGTGAACCTCCTTTTAACGGTGGGGTTGTACCTTCCACAAGTTAAATTTTTGTATTCTCGCCATCATAAAATGTCATTTATCTTCAATATATCGTCTGGGGAAAAACATACATGGTTTACATTCCCATGATAACATCTTTTAAACTGTACGTAACATCTAAACAAGTCCACCTCCTAATAGCGGATCACATCAGACTGGCTGAGTGAGTTTTTGTGGGAGGGTGAGAGAGATGCGGTCACGTGGCCTGTTGCCTCGTTGCCGTGGCGACGCAGCATCTAAATCAGTCATGCCGGTTTACGGCTGCCAAAACGGCTGCGTGTTTTGCAGTCAGATTATTTCGAATTACGCTGGGGAGGAGCCCATCACGTGCGCAGCTTTTATTGATGGAATCATTCACTCCGAATCACAGGAAGGTTCTTACGATGGTGATACTGTGACCGGGAACAGCTTCTTTTGAAAACGTCTTTCGCCACAACAAATTCCTGTGGCTTCCCCATCGCGTTGTCGTTTTTCATTTGGGGGACGAAAAGGGATTAAGTTTGAACAATGGCAGCATGCAAAACCCAAGGTCGCTTTGGATCCGGGCTGTGCTGGAAACATGACACTGCTTGTCACATCATAGTAGGCCCCGCCTTTTAAGCCCCACACACTCAAAGTCACCAATATTTTAGTGTGCAATGTGAGGATGGCGACCCCACATGGTCAACAGCAACAGTTACGTCCTGACATTATTCCGTGTATTATTTGAAAAGTCACCTGCGTCTGTCCCCGTGCAGTGAGCAGCCCATCTTCAGCACGCGGGCGCACATCTTCCAGATCGACCCGACCACCAAGAAGAACTGGCTTCCCACCAGCAAACACGCCGTCACCGTCTCTTACTTTTTTGACAGCACCAGGAACGTTTACCGCATCATCAGCCTGGACGGAGCCAAGGTCTGTTCTCACTCAATGTCGGCGCCTAATCGCATAGTTGCTGAAGTTAGAGCGAAATGTGTTTGGAAATGAAGTCAAACCTTCCCCAGGCCGTCATCAACAGCACCATCACCCCCAACATGACCTTCACCAAGACCTCGCAGAAGTTTGGCCAGTGGGCCGACAGCCGCGCCAACACCGTCTACGGGCTGGGCTTCTCGTGCGAGGGCCACTTGAGCAAGGTTTTTGAATGTTGTATTTGTTTTCACCGCGAGTACGGCGCCACCCATTGGATGGTTCTTTTTTGTTTTGTTTTGGTTTTTCCCAGTTTGCGGAAAAGTTTGCCGAGTTCAAGGAGGCGGCGCGACTTGCCAAGGAGAAATCGCAAGAGAAGGTGGAGCTCACCAGCGCGCCCCCGCAGGTGGATTTTGTTCAGTCGTAACTCATGACATCGACATTTCACGACATTCAACAATTTGAACGTCAAATCTTCGCCTACGAGCCGGTCTAATTGTCTGTTGTTGAAGAGTAAAGCCGCACGCTGCAGCTCGTTGACGCTAGTTTCTGTCCTCTGGCTCCATGAGTGGCGGGGGAGTCAGCCAATCAGTGTAGAGTTGGCTGGTGGGAGCTCAGGTTTGTCTGCGGTAAAAACAAGTGACGCAAAATCACCGCGGAAGCTCAGAGGCGGAGATTGTGATTCATCTTTTTGAAGTCATCGAGTTATTCAAGTCATTCCATTGATCCTTTCGGCCCTGTAACCGCGTCTTTGTCAAAGTTCAGCATGATTGACTCTACCGTTTTTTGTTTTTGTTTTTTCTTGTCGTATGGACACCCTGATGTCGCAATTCTTTTTTTTTTTTTTTTTTTACTCTCCAGATGGCTTGAAGGAGTCGCAAAATTGAAATAATGGCTAAGTTGGCTACCTCTGAACTACCTTCTGGTAGCAGTTTCCGTCACGTTAGCAAAGATGCACTTTGAACTACAGAAGCTGTGAAATCAAAGTTGTATTGGCGCCCAAAATCATCGTGGGCAATAAACTCGATTGCCCACTAAAATCGTTCAATCGGCAAACTCTTCAGAGAAGTGATTTTGTCATGAATTTACCAACCGCGCGCAATTGAGCTGCTGGCCAAGCCAGCAACTAAGCTAGCCTTCAACTTCCATCAGCGTAACCCCCCCGCCTCTGTTCTGCCCGACAACTCCGCAGGGCGGCACTGTCCGAAGGAGCGTGTTGCCCGCGTCCAAGAAGGTAAATGTGACGTGAAGCCCCCTCCGTGGTGACCCCTTTCTCCTCACTCTTACAAACATGAAGTCCCCAAACCCTCGCCATCGCGTCCAATGCGGCGCACTGGCCTCGTCGCTCTCTGATACTCACCGTCACGTTCCCTCGGACCAACCTCTGTGCTCTTTTTGAGGCTGCGTGCACCCACGGTGAAGGGGCCTCCGCTGTCGCCACTTAAAGGGCTCTGTGTGTCAATCATGTATTTGCACATGTCTATTTTTGAAGGCGCGAATGATTGTTTTTCAGGCGTCCCCTAGCCGCCCTTTGCAGTCACCGCTGACGCCCGAGAGCGTGAACGGCGCAGAAGACGAGAGAGCAGCGGCGGACAGCCCTCAGCCCGCAGAGGCCCGAGCCGAACCCTCCCACAACGCACTTCCCTTCTCGCACAGGTGACGGCACGTCAAATTCAACCACCGAGTTCACACCCGACCAACGCAGGCAACGTCACTTTTGAGCCGCATCAAATTGTACGGCTGCGGATATCGCGATGCACCCCAAAATGGGGTTCGTAATGGCACATTCTGATCGCTCGTACAGAGGGTTGCGCAGCACGTCAAGACGGAGAGGCCCATCAAACATCAACACACAATAGCACGCTGAGCGCCCATTAACGGGGCTGGGGTCTCTTTCCCAACGGCCGTAGTTCCTCCAGCATCGGGAAGCACTTGGAGGCGGAGTTGGCGGCGTTGAAGGGCAACAACGCGAAGCTAACGGCAGCGCTGCTGGAATCCACGGCCAACGTTAAGCAGTGGAAGCAGCAGCTGGCCGCCTACCAGGAGGAAGCGGAGCGGCTCCACAAACGGGTAGGCGCGCGCGCAAACGGGGGGGCGGGAGGATCACATTCGGACTTTTTTCACATCCCCTTGGACCCCAAATATTTGAGAAGCCCCGGGCTAACTCACAACCCGCTAGCACAATTGCCACACTGTTGTATTCGGCGTCGCTTGTTTTGTTTATCTCGTGACCTTTTAATCGGCGGGCGTCAAAGGTGACGGAGCTGGAGTGCGTGAGCGGCCAGAGCACGGCGGCCAGATCGGCAAAAACGGAGCTGAACCGCACCATCGAGGAGATGGAGGCGGCGCTGAAGGCCAAGGAGGACGTACGTTCGCCGCCATCACGCCTCGACTTTTGAACTGGTACCTCGGCTCTAGCCGCTCTTTGTCTCTGGCGACAGGAGTTGGAGTGTCTCAAAGCAGAGGTGCAGAGTGCCAACCGCTTTCAGTCCCAAAGAGACTCGCTCGCGCACAAGCTACAGGTGAGCGTGGAAATGGCAGCTTCCACCCAAAAACGGCCCACTTCCTGTCCAGGTTTTAACTTCAATGGTTGACTTGCTGTTCATGACGTCACCAAAATGGTTGACTTCCTCTCTAGGTTCTAACCTAAATGGTTCACTTGTGTTCATATTCAAAGCAAATAGCGGGCTTCCAGTTCACGGCCTTCCTGAAAGCAGTTGACTTCCTGTTTATTTTTTACTTTTAACCGTTACGGTAGACTCCCTGTTCACTTTCAAAATAAAACGGCACAGCTGAATTACCGATCTATATCCAATACTGTGATGCGGCAAAAATCGGATTGTCAAAGAATCTGGATTTCTTCCCTGCTCCGTCCCAAAAGTTGCGTTTTGACGTTTTGGGGGTTGTTCTTCTTTTCCCAGGAAGTGGAGCGTCGTAACGAGGCGCTGGAGGTGCAGCTGGGCGAGCTGGAGCGACGCCTGAACGCCAATCTGCGGGAGCGCGAAGTCTTCCGCCAGAGTCTGCGCTCGCTGCTGCAGCTGCTCGACGGCAAGATCTCGGAGCTGAGCGAGCTGCGCGACGCTCTCGCCAAGATGCTGGAGTGCAGCTAGGGCTGCCGACCCAGCGGTGCTCCGATGCCGATCGAGTTGCGGCACGTGTGCACCTCGCCCGCGCCTCGAATGCACTTCGATTGCAGCTCGGATGCACTTGGGTCGCAACTCAAGCGCACCTGGGATGCGGCTCCATGGTAGCTCGCGCACACCCGGGGGTCGGTTCGATCGCAGCTCGGATGCACCGGCGAAGCAAATCGATTGCACCTCCGGTGCACCTGGGGATGGGGGCGGGGGGGGGGACTCGTTTGCCGCTCGACTGCCGCTCAGATACACCACGGAGTTGTCGATTGCGGCTCAGATGCAACTGGGGACGTCACTGGAACGCAGCTCAATGGTGGGCGCCACTTTTCACTGCCGCCATCACGTCCCCGCAATGTTTACATACTTTCTACGCATTTATGGTACTCGCTCACCTTTTTTGCCACACCCACTCGGCTGGTTTACACCAGCCAAGTGAACGGCTGGGATCATGATGAAGCCTTTACTGCCGTCATGTTTTTTTTTTTTCTTCTTGCTTATTCAATCATCCAACTCGGAGGGCTCGCTCCCGCCTTTTTTCTCCTTTTTGCAAACGACATCATCAGCCGAATTAACCAATGGTGCGAGGGCTTGACGACGGTACGCTGTTCTCTCGTAGGACCCGGGAGGGCGACGGCGAGCCGCCAAGCAGCAATACAAAGACGACGACGCGGCTGAGGGTTTAGCCCAGGCTTCGTCACTTTCAGGTACTTTGCTTTTCACCTTCTGTGGTGAAACCTTTGAGTGAATTGAAGAAATCATTCTTTGAAAACTGGCAATATTTTTTAACTATTTGTCAAGTAACGAAAGCTTGTTAGATACTTTTTTTTTGCCAAACGTTTTTTTTCTTCCCTCGACAATTTTTTTTTTCGCTGGCATTGCCTTTTATAGTCAGTTGATTTATTGCCAAAAAAAAAAAAAACGTCTGAGAAACACCTCGCGACTTTAAGGGCTTGTCGTCAAAAGTATTTGAATTAAAATGTTGATGCTGACTAATTGTCATTTTGGAGTTTCGAAGTAAAAAGTCGATGAAATTTGAGATGTATGCATTTTTTTAAATAAAGAGAAAAAAAAATCAGAGGACATATTTTTGAGAATTGTTTTTGTAATCGTACAAGTATGAATACTTTGAAAGAGTTGAAGAAAAAAGGTCATCTTCAAGAAAAGTGTCATATTTGGGCAAAGTAATTTGAAGTGGCATAGTATAATGAGCGCTGAATCAAAGAAACAGAGCTGCCAACGATTGTGCCGCGTTTCGTCACCAAGCCACCCAAACGGCATTTGTCAAGGAACGCGGCGGTCTTAAGCATGTCGAGGCCCAAAGCAAGTAGCCTGCTGACATCTGTCAACAACTTAGCCCAACATTATCGTTAGAAGCCCATACTGGTAGCGCTCTTGTTATCTGTGTACACAACACTGCAGCTCTGCTTACCTTTTGGCTGTGACATGAGAGTGCTTCAGCCGTCCAAACAAAGTGGCTCTTCCGCCCCACAACTTTGCCCAGCCAGGCTCACCCGTCCGTCATTGGCAGAGGAACGAGGTGGCTGTATACATGTGGTCGTGGTGCCCTGAGATATGAGCTGTCAGTCGACCAATTACTATTTATTGAGGTAGGATCTTTTTTTTATTTTCAAGCAAAAACTTGAAATGGTAGCAATTGCATTGGTTTGGTATCTATTGAAATTGAAAATTACATTTTGTGAATTGAAAACAACCACACCACCTTCTGGCAGCCAAGGCGTGCTATTTTCCGTTTTGAAAAGCACTACAAAGGCACACCGTACATGTCCCATTGAAATGAATTACAAACCTTGGTCATTAAGTTAGTGACTCAACCTTTGTTTTTTTTGGTGTTTATTTTTAAAGTAAAGCAAAAAGGAAGGAGGAATGTCAGGAGAGCATAAAAAAAACAGATATAAGAATCTTTTTTTTTTCTAAATTTGAAGCATCAATAAATACTTGAATACACATAGGCATGCAGACATATATATTTTTGGGACGTGTACAATGACACGTGGCGTCTTATTGCACGTCTGTTGCGAGGTCTGAGTACAAATTGTGTCAAACTTCAAAATAAAAGCCATCACAAAAGCAGACTTATTCCTTTAAATGGGGGGGAGAAGCAACACACTAGCAGCTTTCAGGGGAAAAAGAAGAATCCAAAACTTATACGCTTCTTTTCCATTTCTGTTAGCGCTGTGAGGCTAAGTTAACTCCGCCTCAAAATTCCTGTTCGAGCTGTGATGCTAATGCTAAGCTAACTCCCACCTCGACTTTCCCCGCGGGAGCTAGAGTGTTGCTCCACGGTTGGACAGTACGTTTGACACATTTCATACATGGGATGGATGTTAAAAACAAATCAAACACGCACACACGGCACACTTCATATATCTTAAAAAAAGAAAAGAAAATACAGGTACAAAAATCAATGGAAAACAAAACATTGTAATCAGCATCGAGGGCCAAGGCAGTGTGTTGGGGAGAAACTATTTTGAGCTCCAGAACGCTAGTATGGTTGCTTTAAACGGCTGATAAAATCCAATTCCAAAACAACTGATCAAATCAACCCCCAAAGTTGCATATTCTTCGTTTAGTTGACTGACAAAATGAGCTCCAAAACGGGCTAATTAAAATGAGCCTTGGAACTTCCATATTGCTGCTTGAGATAGATAAAACGCTAAGCTCCAGAATGTACTTATCATTGTTTTGAAACGGCGAGCCAGAGCTCATGTGGTTGTTTTCAATGGCTTCCAAACTGAGCTCCAAAACTCGCCGGCAATAAAAACGGAGCTCCAGAACTATCGTATCGTTGCTTTACCATGGCTGACGACAAAGGCTCAGAAGTCGCGCATCGTTAGCCCACGCAACACGAAAGGGAAAACATGACAGAACATTTTGAATTTGGTAATAGAAGATGATGAAATGATAATGGGGGGGGAAAAAAAAACTTGGAATACTTGTGCATTTCCATGTGCACCTCCTTCAAGGAACGTACAGTACGACGACAAACATCAACGTACAGGGATGACAAACACGTTTAGTGGTCCACTTGTACAAAACCCACATTGAATCTCCCCCCCCGAAAAAAAATCAGGCGCTTCTAGTTCTCCCAATCGGTGCAGGGCAGGCCCTCGTCCTCCGACTCGGACTCGGGCGATGCCTCCTTGATCCTGCGCAGGGCCTCGTGGATGCTTTGCGTCAGGGCGTCGGCCGAATGCGCAAAGCGTTCGGCGCGACGCGGCCGCTCTGGCGGCGCGCGCACCTGCCGGAGACGCACGCCCTGCCGGATCTGCGCCAGGATGTTCTCGCCGTCGTCGTCCGGGTCGGGGGCGAGGACGCGCAGTTCGGCTTTACGCAGGTGGAAGCTGCCGCGCTTCAGCGATGCCAGGACCTCGTCCATCGGGGAGCTCGCTGACCGTACCGGATACCCCAAAAAAAACAAACAAAACAAAAAAAGGCGCCTGCTTACAACCACATGCCAGTATGCCGTTGAATACATGATTCCATCATCAACCGTCCTGGAATATTTTGTGGCACGATCACGTTTTTTTTTTTCCTAAAATTGGATCATTATGAGTTCCTTATTCATGAAATAAATGTATTTATTTGGTGGACATTAAAAATGAAAGCAAGCAATTTTGCTTTTCAAGTTGGTATTTTAAGTGGCAAAAATAAAAGATCGATTCATACCATGTAAACTGTTACTACATTTTAAATACCATTAAAATCCATTGTAACATTTTTTAAAAAAGATTTAGATTTAAAGAGATGGTTATTTTATTGTGAATACAACACTCTCCCGGTGTAAAATCTACTTTGTGTAGGAAATCAAATCAAAATCTGACTCAAAAGACATTGACCTCACTTTTTTTCAGCAATGTGTTGACTCTGTAAATGAGAAAAACCTATTCGGGATAAGTTGAGTGTTTTTGTGGGAGTAAACTCATCGGTTACGTTGTTGTGTTATTTTTGCGAGGGGTGCGTTGATGGCGTCTCTCACCTCTCCTCCACTGCGCAGCGTCCTCAGCCGACGTCTTCCTCAGCTTCTTCCTGGCCGTCAGCAGCTGGCTGCTGTCGAAGAAGCGGGGCGAGATGGGAGCCAGGGGGAGCGAGGCGGGCTTGGACTCCCGCGGCAACGCCGGACGCGGCTCGGCCGCTTCGGATCGGGGCGCCAGAGGAGGGAGCGGAGGCGGCGGAGGCGGCGGGGGCGGCGCAGGGGCTCCACCCAGAGTGACGACGGACGTCGGCAAGGAGAGGAACACGGGAGACGAGTCCAGGTCGTCTGCGTGGATGGCGGGGAAGGACTCGCCGGCGTCCCCCGCGGGAGGCGCGGCGAGTTCCGGCAGGTCCGAGGTGACGCGCTCGGTCTGGACGCCGGCCGCCTGCGTGCAGGCGGGCTGACTCGCCCGCCGCCGCGTCTGAAGCAGCCTCAGGCGACTGGACTTGAGCGTCACGTGACCTGGATAACGCTGAGTGGAAACCGGCGCGGCAATTATCGGACACGGGTGCAAGACCTTGAGGAATCATTGGCTCGGAAACACACGAACGTCAGAAAGAATTGGATGAGAAAAGATGCGGCAGCGGCACGAGGCGTCATTTGAAGAGGGCCCGGAGGCGCTTTACCTGCTTGAGGCTGCGAAGTCGCTCCAGAGTTTTCTGCCTCTCCAGACTCACTCGCGCATTCCGCTCTGCTTCCCCTTCCTCCGTTTCGCGCACCTGCAGCGCAAAAGCAGCCGGCGTCACGTTCGCATCCCGGCGCGGCTCCGGCCGGGGGCGTGGGCCTTACCTGCAGGGGCGTGCACTGGGCGAGGGCGCCCCGACGCGCTTCAACTTTCTGCTTATGATTGGAGATGCAGATTTCCTGTTCCGAGAGGAAGGAAAACAGGATGACGACTCCTCGGGGGAGAAATGAGAAATGCTCGCTCGCCAATCAACCGTCGGCGGCCGGGTCACCTTCTTGTTTTTGAGGTAGACTTTCTTGGAGGTGATGCGTCCCCTGCGGGCCTCCAGCTGCCGAGTCCTCTGCCGCAGCCTCCCCAGTTCTTCATCATCACGGAGGGGCGGCGCGGGCGGGGGTCCGGCCGGGTCCTCCGCCCCCTCCATGGCGTCCGGGCTCTCAAAGGCATCGTAGTACACCACCTCGTCCTGCCTCTCTGCCGGGAAAACAAACCAAGAAAAAGGTCCGCCCCCTTTTCGACGAGCGCGGAAAGGCG